TCTATCTATCTATCTGTCTGTCTGTCTGTCTGTCTGTCTATCTGTCCGTCCGTCCGTCTATCTATCTATCTATCTATCTATCTATCTGTTTGTCTATCTGTCCGTCTTTCCGTCCGTCCGTCTGTCCATCTATATTCACGTATATCTATCTATTATATACATGTATATATATATATATATTGAACCCATCTTGTTACACATTCGAGTTTATTACATACTACATACTCTGGTCTGAGTGAGGGTCAATACAGCATCCTTTTAAGCTCTCAGTGCTCCAGTAAAGTGCTCTGATATCCTTTAGGGCAGGTCCCATTACTGCCTTCCTTTACTGATCTCATGTCAGTTTCACTCAGGGAACATCTGAGGTCAAAGCACAACAGAAGTGCCGCTGAAGAATGTTTGTTCTGCCTGCCTTCTGATGCTGTTTTTCCCTCCTGGACTTGAAGATCCGATTGTAGATCAAGAATATAATCTGGACCGGCGCGAGTTATTTCTGGTGGGTGAAATTATTGCTGCTTTGTTTAGCCCTTGTAAGGTCCTTTGGGTCTAGACCCAATATGTCTTTGTGTGTGTGTGTGCGTGCATGTGCATGTTCCTGTACTGCATGACTTCCTCATATTCATTAATAATCATATAAGATGATAAGATGAAAATCATTGCGAGGACAAACGGTGTGTACAAAAATGCGAAGGACCACACGAGGGTTAACACTTGAGGTATAACGATGTCGATTGATTCAGGTCTGCAGGCAACATCTTTTGTTTCTAAATATTCTGTGTTTTATCCGATGGAAGTTTAAAAATGTAAAAATGGAATTTTTAAAAAATGCAAACACTGCAGCTGTCTAAGATTTTTTTTTTATGATCGGTGGGTATTGTGTTTTAAGGCGTGGCGGGGCGGCCAATGCCTTTGTGAAGAGGCAGAGGACAAACGGTGTGTATATATATAAATATATACATATGTGTGTGTGTGTGTGTGCGCGCGTGACTGCTGAATTCGCCTGGAAATGTGTTGCCACCACGTGTAAACATCAGACGCCACATGCGTCACTGAAATGTGACTCTGTTGTTCCCTTCCAACGTAGCATGTGATGATCACTAATTCTCCATTTCATACCGTAAAAAAGGGGAACAGAAAGGAAACACTCTCGGCAGTTATAACAGTTCAGCTTCAGTCCAGCTGCGCTGTAATGTTCTTGATAAACTCCTTTGTGAGTCACCACTGGATGGGCATCACATGTTTGCCCTGTGCCTGTGGTGAGGATATCCCCCTGCAGTCAGTCTTATCACTATTAGGCCCAAAAATGTACTTACGACATACTGTAAATCAAAACCTTGTTATTAAAACATATTGACCTCACAAATTACTTATATATGGAATTTTACTCTTGTGCTAAATTTTTTTTTTAAATTTTACTCAATGCAGTGAAAAACAGCGTGTTTTTTTAAACTGTATTTACTGTAAAATAATTAATCTATTTTTTTAAATATTAATTATTATTTAAATTTATTTAAATTTAATTTATTTAAATAATTTAATTTATTTAAATACATTTATTAAATATATTTAAATTTAAATGTATTATTTAAATAATTTAAATATTAATTATTTAAGTATTTCAATCGACACTGCAGAGGTTTGCCAATTTTAAATATGTGTGAAAAATGAATGCATTTCCAACTCGCAATTATTGCTGCCCATTTGAAACTTGCTGAATTTAGCATCACATCTTCTGAGACCCCGTCTCGGTCCTAAACTCCAGTGGAGAGGTGATTCCGGATCATTTTGCACTTGTTTTCCATTGTTGACCCACGTCTACAAATAGTATTAATTTTCTTGCGGTATTTGAACTGGAGGGTCCAATGTGTGTTCCTGTATGATTGCCCCATACTCACTTTAATAGATGAACTTACTTTACAGATATACAGATATATTCACCGAGCTCATTTATGTAATACATTTGACCTAATAGATGAACTTACTTTACAGATATATTCACCTAGCTCATATATGTAATACATTTGACTGTTTCCATTATTATTAATTGCTTTCATCCTGACCTATGCCGAATTTAAACTGCCGTGTATGCGCAATTGCGTGATTCTCACCGCAAAGGAAAAAAGAAATTGCATCAATCTTAATAAATGTACCGCTTTTTTTTTCTATGCGTGTGTAAATGCCACATGGGGAATACACATGCTCATAAACAATGTTTAATCAAATTAGGAGAATGTCATGAAGGAACTACTACTACAACTTTATACAAACATTTGTTATATTAACAGTTAAAATTAATTACATGTTATTATCTTATTCATAATATTTACATTCTTCCAAGGGTGTCCTGACATTATGAGCTAGGACTAGCAATAGCGTATTCCAGTGGCAGGGAATACAAATCTGACAGAACACCTAACTCAATCCAAATTGTTGCCAACAGTATCACTTTCAGAACAAATGATGGGCCAATGGGCGTAAAAATGGGATCTTTTTTAAAATTATTATTCTTTGCATCCCTGCAGATGGCGCTCTAGTCGACCACCTACTCCCGCAACTGTTGCTGATTAACCAAAATTTGTGTTCCCCACAGAAAACTTCAGAGACGGGCAAAAATGAAGAAGTCAGAGATGTTTGGCTTCACCCTGGAAACAGATGACAGAGAAAATGACAAGAGACATGCGAAAGCAACACGGGGAACGATGGGCAAGGAGGCCCCCACTGCTCCCATGGACACTGACTACCAGGATGATATAGAGGAGCTGAAACCTCAAATTAGAGTAAATATACATTTTGACAGGTACGACTTCCTTCGTGCAGCAAAGTGCTAGCTGCTTATTTTAACCGTTGTCATTGGTGTCATGTTGTGAATAGTCAGGCATGGGCAACGTTTTGACAACAATGGGTCCTCAAATGTGACAAGGAGGCTGGGTTCCAATGGAACATGGCACACTGTAGGTACGTAAGTGTACCACTGCTGTAATGCTTGAACGATAACAAGGCTCCAGTCACTAGGTGGCAGCAACTCACAGTGGTTTGTACAGATAAAAAAGATACACGTTATCAGACTCTCAATAGTATTTAAAAAGACATTTCTATCCTCAAAGGGGGGCATGAGAAAAATAATTGAGAATCACTGATGTAAACTAAGATAAATACTAAAATGCTTTAAAGCCTTTTCTACGCCATTTATTGGGGAAATGCTGGGGCTACAGGCAAAAGGCAGAAGTAGAACGGCAATATAAATGAATAACGTAGTTCGCTTAAGTTTGGCGGGCCGCAATAAAAAGCCCAACAAACGTAATTTGCCCATGTCTGGAACGGTCAGTAGTGCGAAGGCAGCTGACCTTTCACCTAATGTGTGTTTTACAAACTAACGGTGTTGTTGTTGTTTGCAGGGAGATTCGAAATATAGAGCTGAGCAGCACGGGCCGCGACAGTGAGAGATTTAACATAGAAAGCTTGTTTGAAGCAGTTGCCGACAGGGATGTCAGAAAGCTGGAGGGTCTGGACCAGTACCTGCATCAAAACATGAAGAAACTCACCGACTCGCTCTGTGAGTGTTAAGACACCGCTGACCCAGCCCAGCATATTTTTGGAGTTTTGTTGCTAATGTATGTATGTTGTTGTTGTTGTTGTTGCAAATTGAGCACTGAAATCTGACAGTGGAATCCAGGGTATTATTATGGGAGCTATTGAAATTGAATAGGAGATATTGTTAGATTAAATCGGAAAGAGAGTTTAATCGTTAATTATGTTAACCCAGTTTCCACTGCACAGCCCTGACGTTGGAATTATGTATACTAGAAACGTATTAATAATTAACCTATTACCTTGACCTCAATTCATTCAAACATATTTTTGTCTTATAATATACAAAATGCTTTTATTAACAGTGAATGTCACAGATCAACCCTAGTGCTGACATCAATTTACAGCTACATAAATAATAGCTAAAAGCTAATAAACTAACTCACTAAATGTGACTAAATTAACTTCTAGTTAGTTAACTAAATGTTTTCAACCAGGGGCCTCACGTATACATACAGCACTACCTTGAGATACAAGTACAATCCATCCCGGGACCGAGCTCATAACTCGAGGTGCTCGTATCTCAAGTCATTTTTTCCCAACAGAAAAAAAAAAATCTGTTCTGACCGTCTAAAAACACTCCCTTATTAGTGCTAATAACAAAACATGTTTTTAATTGCTATAAAGACATACACACACATACAAAATCTATAGTATATTAGGATTCCTGTGATAAAAAATAAAATGTGGTTTTAATTACGAGTTCTTGCCTTCGAGACAGACGAAACAGTAGCAGCTAATGTGGAGAAGGAGGAGGAGGAGGAGGAGGAGGGAGGGAAGAGAGTTAGCCCGTACGTAGACACTTGGTTCGGTACCGTACCTTAAATGTACCCTACGTAACTTACTGTACATGAACTTAGAATTAACTTAACTTAACTTACTTTTTTTGGTTACTTTTCTTTACATGAACTTAGAATGAACTTAACTTAACTTACTTTTTTTTGTTACTTTTCTTTTTTCATTTATTTTTTTGCTGCTTTTTTCAATTTGTATTTTTTTCTTTAGCGGGCACCGCGCTCATATTTATCGACAATTTCCTGCTTTATTTCCGGGGTCATCACGCGTTTCTTCTTCTCGCTTCCATCCTTACCGCTCACTTTCTTAGGACTCACTATTATGAATAGTGCACAAAATAGGGAGAAAATCACGTAGATAACGCAAACACAATACGGAAGACTCGTGGGAGATGCGTAAGGAAGTCGACAAACACGTGAAGTGAATGAGTAAGGCGGCGTGGCCTGCTCCGAGTGCTAGCGTCTGTAAGCGTGCTTGTATCTCAAATTTTTACTCGTATCTCAAAGCAAAAATGTACTCGAAGGCTACGCTAATCTGGGTTTGCGCGTTCTCACATTTTGGTACATCTGAATTTTTGTGCGCGTTTGTTGGCGTACGCCCCTTTTCATGATGAAATCTACGCAAGCCTTAGTACACGAGTCCCCTCTGGTCTGACAACAAAGTGCCTGTGGTGACTGCAACATTCGCTCCGTGTATTCTTTCTACATGCACTGTGTCCTAACATTAAATATTTGCTTTAATGGCAGATCAATCCTATGGCAAAACGTGCCTGATGAAGGCGCTGCTGCATCTCAAAGACGGCAGGAACCAGACTGTGGAACTATTACTTGACATTTCTGAGAGACAGGGTGATATTAAGGAGTTTGTGAATGCAGCCTATACCAGCGTCTATTACAAAGGTAAAGGTATTTCTTTCATTGTGGAATTAAAAAAAAACCCCAAAACAAACATTTTTCACCTTGCTTTTGGAGGTCTCATTTTAACTGCTGTGTGACTGACAGGCCAGACTGCTCTTCACATAGCCATTGAGAGACGGAGCCTCTTCTACGTAAAACTGTTGGTCAGTAAAGGAGCAGACGTCCATGCTAAAGCCTGTGGGAAATTTTTTAAGCCTCACGATGGCCCTTACTTTTACTTTGGTGAGTTATCGCCGCACAAGCACAATTTAGGCTATTGGATTGATAAATGTTTTAATAATTTATTACATCCTTTGATATTTATATTGCTAACTTTGGTGCAGTACCACAAAATGGTACAGACTTTTGAAACCTTTAAAGATCAGTGATGTCAAATTTGAAATTTTTTTTTTTTTGATGTGCAGTTAGTTAATCGTGATTAACGTAGTTTCTGGACCATAAGTAGCTCTGGAGTATAAGTACAACAAGAAGAAAAAGTTGTTATAGATATTTGTTAGTCAGTAATCGAAAATGAAATATTATTGTTATTGAAATATATTGTATAAGTATTAACATTGTTAATCATTTTAAACAAGTTAAATGTGAGCGACAAGACCAGCACTCAGGCTGATACTTTTTAAGGATGTCACTCTGAATGTTGGCAGCAACTCATATAGTGGTTTGTACAGATAAAAAATATACATGTCATCAGGCTCGCAATAGTACATTTCTGTCCCCATGATGGAAAATAATTGAGAGCCACTGAGTTAAACGAACAAATAAAACAACAACAACAAAGATATTATAACATAAAAAAAACTGTATATAAAGACTTAACCCTAACCCCACATTTCCACATCGTTGTTGACAGGTGAGCTGCCTTTGTCTCTGGCCGCCTGTACAAACCAGGCAGAGGTTGTGGACTTGTTGATGGAGAACGAGTACTGTCTTGCGGACCCAAAGATGACTGACTCGTATGGTAACACCGTGCTACATGCTTTGGTGATGATAGCGGACAACTCAAAAGAAAACACCACATTTATTGCCAGCATGTACGACCACATCCTCAAGACCACTGCCCGACTGTATCCGAAGGTGAAGCTGGAGGACATAGCGAACCAGAAGGGACTGACACCTTTTACAATGGCTGCACAAACTGGCAAAATCTGGGTCAGTACCGTTGTCTGTATATAAGAAATGGATGTACCATATTTTCCGGACTATAAGTCACACTTTTTTTTTCATCCTTTGGCTGGATTTGAGACTTATACTCAGGTGCGACTTATATATTAAAGTACATACATATATAATTTCATGTTTCTTATTTTCACACTGACTGCCGCTAGAGGGCACTCTAGGCTTGTGTACCAGTATCTTCTACTCCTGTACTACTGAAAATGTACATGTTCGTTATTTTCACACTGACTGCCGCTAGAGGGCACTCTAGGCTTGCTTACCAGTATCTGCTAGTCCTGTGAGTCGCTCTTTTTTTCATCCTTTGGCTGGATTTGAGACTTATACTCAGGTGCGACTTGCATATTAAAATACATACATATATAATTTCACATTTCTTATTTTCACACTGACTGCTGCTAGAGGGCACTCTAGGCTTGTGTACCAGTATCTGCTACTCCTGTACTACTGAAAATGTACATGTTCGTTATTTTCACACTGACTGCCGCTAGAGGGCACTCTAGGCTTGCTTTTACCAGTATCTGCTAGTCCTATGAGTCGCTCTTTTTTTTCATTCTTTGGCTAGTGCAATTTATATTTCAGACGAACTTTTTATGTTTTTTTTCTTCTTCATTATGCATTTTTTGGCACGTGCAACTTATATTCCGGAGCTACTTATAGTCGGAAAAATATGGTAGTTAGCAGTGTTTATCATTGGTTTCACTTTCACAGCCTGATTTATTTGTTTTCTCTTCTTTATTCTCTATGTTTGCCATCAGCTTTTTTCACACATCCTCAGACGAGAATTCCAGGAGTCTGCTAGCAAACACCTGTCCCGGAAATTCACTGAGTGGGTTTATGGCCCGGTTCAGTGCTCACTGTACGACCTGGCCTTGGTGGACACGTGTGAAGACGGCTCGGTCACTGAGATTCTTATCTACGGCAGTGAAATTCCTGTAAGTCCTGACTTCATAAGAGCAACCACGTCAGTTTTACTCTACTTAATTTTTTTTTTCTTAATTTGTCAGAACCGTCATGAGATGCTCGACACCGAGCCCCTGAGTCGACTGCTTGAGGAGAAGTGGAAGAGGTTTGCAGGTGGAATGTTTTTCCTCAACTTTTTGTTCTACCTGGCATATCTGATTATCTTCACTATTTGGGCCTATAACAAACAGAATGGGAAGGTGAGCAGTCGGTGTATTGCTGTTCTGTGCATACCTTCAACAAAGTACTACCGTGATCTTTCTGATGTTGTTCCATCAATCCACAGCCACCTTTTGCGGTAGAACAAACCATCAAGGGTTACCTGTATGTCTCTGCACAGCTCTTCACGCTGGTGGCAAACGTCTATTTCTTTATCATAGGGGTATGAACACACCCTGTTGTTACATTTAAAACAACATATGAGCTTTTATTATCTTGTACTATAATTGCATGACCTTTTTTTTATTTTTTTCATAATATTTTTTTTCTCCAGATAATTGACATGAGGAGGAAGCGCCCAAAGCTGAAGACTCTACTCATTGATGGATATTATGAGATTCTTTTGTAAGTCACACTTATTTTACCTAAGACTAATGTAATTGTTTCTACAGTAATAGTAATAGTTTTTTTAAGATAAAGCAAACATCAAACATCTTTTCCACAAGAGGCCACTCTAGGCTTGTGTACCAGTATCTGCTAGTCCTTTACCACTGAAAATTAATGTTTGGTATTTTCATACTGACAGCCACAAGAGGGCACTCTAGGCTTGTGTACTAGTATCTGCTAGTCCTGTACCACTGAAAATGTATATGTTCATTAATTTCACATCGTACCACTGAAAATGTATATGTTCGTTAATTTCACATCAACAGCCCTTAGAGGGATGGTGCGACTTATACTTCGAAGGGACTTCTAGTCTGGAGAATACAGTAGACTAAAAAAAAGTTAATTTTTTATATACATATTTTATATATACATATATACATATTATATATATATATATATTTTACAAAAAAAGGAATTCTCTGGAAGAAGCCCAGATGTGTTGAAACTTGTAACGGACGAGGGGTTATTGTTGGTGTTAAAAAAAAAAAAAAAAAAATTAAGACCAACTTTTTAATTTGTCTTCCCCTTATAGTAGTCCATTCTTGTTGTTCTCTTCTTGTTCTTGTTTTTATTCTATTTTTTGTTTAGAAATTTCTGATTTAAAATGAACAAATCAAAACAAATTTGAGCAGCCTTATTGTAATCCCACCCGTTAAGTTTTTCCTTCAGTTAAACTCTCAGCATCTTCAACTTCAACTCCAACTTTAATTTCAACAGTATTTTTGTGATTGAGCCTTTACCACCCTCTCTTGCACCATAGCATCGTCTCGCAAGTCAATTTTAAATGAAGAAATGTTTTACTTTCACTCAAGTAAATTTTTAGGAGGGTATTGTGTACTTTTACTTGAGTAGAATTGAAGCAAAGCTAAAATACTTTTACTTAATTACATTTTTAGACCTTTTCCCACCTCCACAATGAACTATACACATCGTTTGTGTGTGTAAATCCCAACAGTCTCAATTCTTATTCAAATTAGAAGTAATGTATTTTTTTTTTTTTTTTTTTTTTTGCATAATATAACTAAAGTTGAAACATGAGCTAGAGTCAAGTGGCAGCTTACTGTCAATGCTGCTGGTAGTGCGACATCTAGTGGCAGAGATCACTATGTAACTAAAACATGTAGACGTCAAATGAAGCTTTTTGAATCGCCAATATTTAATTTTTATGTTAATTTTATCTATGAAGCTTTTTGAATCGCCAATATTTATTAATATTTATTATGTTAATTTTATCAAGGAAGTGGATACCCGGTGTACTTGTCACCTGCATCAATATTTCCAATTAATTCTACTGCTAACTATTAGATACTATCTTATATCTAATACTATCTAACACATCCATTCATCTATCTAATAGATAGATGAATAAATATAGATAGATAGGTAGATAGACAGATATAGAAATAACTCTGCAGCCCAGCTCAGAGCCATGCTGTCAAAGTGTTAATTCAACTGTTGGTCAGAGCTTGTCCACAAAAGGACTAAAGTAAATGCCACACATAAATGTTGAATTACTTTGTAACCCTCAGATGGTGGTAGTGAGGAGGAGTTCCTGCAGCTTCTGCTACTGTGTTTTAGAAAAAGCAAAAGGAAAAGGAAAAAGCAAATTGTCCACTGGGGTGCAATCATCAGTCGGTATTACACGAAAATGAGTCATTATAGCTCTGTTTCAGACAAATTGAAATTTGGAGGAAGGCCTTCATAATAAAAAAGGCGAGGACAAAAGTTGAATGGAAATCACACTACGTGGGATACAAACATTTTACTCCTATGACATATCAAAGCTCTACAGGCTACTGCAACTTTGTGAGGAGGACACAAATAAAAACCGGACTTAATCATTGTATACTGATTTCATCTTGGCTGTGTATCCCACCCTTGTTCGTCGACTGGCTGATTGGCAAGATAGCAGCAATCAGCCAGTTGACGAACCAGGGCGGGATACACAGTTTACCAGTCTATCCCAGGGTAACACATAGACAAACCAGCATTCATACTTAGACTCAGAACAATGGTCAATTTAGAGGGTTTTTTTTTTTCTCTCAAGTTAACATTTAACCAAATCCTACATAGATAAGATAATAAAGTGTTTCCACATTTCACAAAGACAATCTTGAAAAAGTTTCTTACTCGTACTTCGGGGTATCCGGAGTATAGGTTGCACCAGATTGCACCGAAGGATGTGCAGGGTGTCCTCTTCTTGGTCTTAGCTGGGCTGCACGTCCTCGTCAACCTGCTCTACTTCTCAAGAGTAGACAAACACATGGGCATCTACAGCGTCATGATGACACAAGATCAGTGCACTCGGACAGAGCGGTGTCACAGCGAAAAGAGTGGAGGGAGGAATCACAGGAAGATCTCGTAAAAGTTGCGTACTCGTAACTTGGAAAACACACATTTCGGGACAGCATGTATCTTGAAGTCCATTCGGAGTATAGGTTGCACCAGATTGCGCCAAAGGAGTAGCAGATACTGGTACACAAAGCCTAGAGCGCCCTCTAGCGGCTGTC